GATAAAATTGTCTAAGCCAGTATTCTTAAGATTATATGTAGCTATATAAGGCAAAAATTTAATATCTAATAAAGATACAAAGCAAGACCTCACCTTAACACCGAAAAAAAAAATTAATATGATATTTAAAAGTTATTTTGAATTTTACAAAACTATAAAATTCAAAAAAAATCTTAATATAAAAATTGATTATGTTATTGTTGAGATATATGTGTTTAAGTTTCTAAAGGAAATTTTAACTGATACTATTTAAAATTTGGTGATCATCAATACTTTAAATAAGAGTATTTCAACATCAAAATAGTTAATTTTGATGTTTAAGGACTCTTTTGAATTCTATAGGCATGTAAAATTTAAAAGTATTCTTACATATTAAAATTAATCATTTTATTATTAAGATATATCTGCCCAAAAAATTTTGTGTAATTTTCATATTCTGTGAGTATATAAAAATGCAATATATGATATAGGAGGCTTACTATTCTGTAAAATGTATACTATATCAGACTTTAAACCTATACTTACTCTTACTATAAATAAAAATTTAATTTTATTTGTAAAAATTATTTTAATTAGTATATTATACAAGACGATTGCTATTTGTACACCAGGTGTATATACACACATATATTTGATATCTCAAAATTCTGATTATATAATAGCTTTTGGGGTTCTAACAAAAAATATTTCTTGCAAAATTTTAGTATAAACTATAACTTTCTCTAACCCTAAAGCTACCCTCACTCTAATCTTAAGCTATACTAATTTTTCATTTAGAATTTATATATTATACAAATTCGTAAATCAATAAATTAGTATATATGTATATATACTTAGTGTAAATTAAGAAATTTTTATTATACAAATATATCATTCTATAAATTATATCTATATATAAATACTATATGTAAACTAATAAATTTTTTATAAATTATATATAAAATTTTTAAATAGTAAAATATCTAAAAATTTTTCTTAAATAAATTATTCTTAAAGCTTAAGTAAAATTGTAAAGCTTATTATAATATTGGATGTTCTATATAATAGGTAGGCAAACTCTGCAAACTCTGCAACTCCGCTATTAAAAAATTAATGATTACTAATCATTAGCGAAGCTTATTTCATATATTGCCCACCTATTCTATAGAATATTTAAAATAGATTTAATAATAATAAAAATAGTAAAATTATTTAGTAATTTTTAAAAAATTTTTTAAAAATATTTTGATAATATATAAAATTTTTTAACAAAAGTAAAGTTTTTAAAGAAATTTTAAATATTAGCAAAATATTTTTTAAAAATTTCTTAAGAAATAATAAATTATTTCTGTAGTCTAATAGTACTTCTAATTATATAATGCATTAATTTTCTCATAATGCAATATATTTTTAAATAAAAATTTTTATCTACCTCACCTCTTGCCAAGTTAAAGGTGTGAGAAACTTTTGTCAGGTACTGTACAAATAATATTTAATCATAAATATAGTAAATCTTTAATTACAAACTATATCCAAATATCTTATAGAAAGACTTTTGTATGATTGGCTGTTTAAATCAATTTAATATTACATTATTTATACAGTTTAAAGTACTTTTTAAAAAAAATACAATTACGAAGAATAAACTAGTGATAGTACCCGATTAAAAAAAATGCTATCCGGTTATCTGAGAGATATATCTGGCAGGTTACTCAGGTGATCAACAGATATATCTAGGTATAAAATCCTACCTGATATTCTAGTAAAGCATTTTAAATTAGGAAATAATTATCCAAGTCACCCATATGTTATACAATTTTTTTATACATTTTACAATACTTCTATTAAAAAGCTCGTGCTAATCAAATTTGTGGTTTTTTAGAAAGAAAATTTTTTATACATTTTACAAGAAGCTTCGGGTAACAAATCCCTTCTAAGATACATAACTAACGACTAAGTTAACTTGAAGCTTTCGCACTATATTTTAATAATATTAACTGAATCTATCTGAATCCACCAACTTTTATATTACGATTTGCTTTACAAAAATATGTCTGAGGCTAAGGAATATATAGAATATAAAGCTACTAAATCATCTAGATTTCATTCGTTAACAGAAAATAAGTGGAAAGAAGCTGAAGCTTATAATTTACTAAAAGTAACTTGGAAAAAAATAACTACCTATGCCATTCTTGTTATATGAATTTTGTAGAAAATCAACTAAGAAGATTGAAAAGAGAAGCTAAACGACCAAAAGTCTCAGTTGAAGAAGCAGAAACTAATGTAGATGTAGCTGAAACCAATATAGTTGAAGTAGAAGATGTTGAAGAAGTAGATGTAGCCAAAACTGATGTAGTTGAAGTAGAAAATATTGAAGAGGTAGATGTTGTTGAAGAAGTAAATGTAGTTGAAGATTTAGTTGAAGATGATGATGTAATTGAAGTAGATATAGAAGAAATTATTAGAAAAGAAATAGAAAATAAAATTAAAGAAAACATAGAATTGAGAGATACAGAAGCTACAATAAGAGAGGATATAGAGACCGTAAACGAGAAGGAGGTAAGTATGATTAACCTTATCAGAGTTATTAAATCGATAGCAAAAATTTTTTATTAGAGAGAACATGTAGAAAAAGAAGAACTCATATATTTATTTGACAAAATGTGGAAATTACTTCCACAAATCGATTCAAGCTTGAAGGATTTTTTCAACCAACTTTATTTGCTAGCTCAGCCATTTAAACGTTGTAAGAAGACAATAGGGCGTATGAAAAAATTAATAGTGTTTTTGTGTTATCTTCTCACATTATTAAATAATTCAAAAATTAATTCCTTTAAGTTCGATTTAGCATATTATTTAGATTTTGTAGGTACAAGTAATGAAGGTTTAAATACCTTAGCTGGTATTGAAATAATCACGACTGCAAGGGTTGTAAATAACAAGAAAAGACAATTTTTAGAGGCATATAGGGAATTTGTAGAAAAAGTTCTTGAAAATTAGTTAAAAAGCGCTTTCATGCTAAATATAGATGATTGCTATAATGTTCATATTCCACAGCAACCTGATACTACTAGTACATCTTGGATGGCACATATGGCTACAATTATTGCAAATTCGTACCCTATATTAGTGATACTACGTAATAGAGTAATAAACCCGAAAATTGTGGATAATGAACTAATTTTAAAGTATCTTGATAAATGATTTATAGAAAATCTTGGAATTTCTTACCATGTCTGTAGACAAAATTATATGAGTAAGTATTCTGATGACAAGGTTATAGAAAGACTAACTTTGCATAATTACGATGATAGGTTGGTAGAAAAAAAAAAAGACAGATATATACAGATGTTATTCTTTTAGACTTTACTGAAAGTAACTTGAAAGGCATCAAAAATTATACAAAAGCTCTTCAAGTTGTATATAATCAGAAGCTAATGCAGAAGTATCTCTCTAATAATGCAATTCTGATTATTGCATACTGGCCCGAACAGTTTTTATTCGCAAGGCTATTGCGTATTGGCTTTTTTTTAACAACAAAGCAATTTCTTCATTTGTTTCGGCATTTGTGTCTATGATGGGACTTTTCTATATTTCTTTAAACAATTGTGAACTCATTTTTTTAAAAAATTCATGCTTATTTAATAATATTTACAAAGGTATTTTTGGGCCAAATAAGGATCTGGGTAAGAAGCCACAGCCATGGCAGATTGATTTAATTCTTCATATTATATACATAGCATGGCTTAATATAGCTAATATTGTTTTTTCGAAGTTTGGTTATACATGTAAAAATATAGAATATTTATATCTAACCAATCTTTTGAGTAATTTAATTTTTCTAGTGCTTGATGTTTACGCCATACATCATCGGGAAGGTAACTGGTCTGCCTACGATGAAGCTTGTATATACTGCTGGTGTGATCTTTTTCTTCAGTTTGAGTGAAAAAATTATAAACGTGTATCTCTAATATTTTTTTCTGATATTTTTTATTAGATAGAAACTAATCATCCAATGATTAATTTAATTACTAATCACCTTGCTGCGTTGAGTGATTGTCCTGTAGAACTTGTTCCCGGCATAATTTGGCAGTATACAAATAAATTTTTGATACAGATCAACTGCAAAAGGTGGTATGTTTTATCTTTTAACACTAGAGATAGTGCTTTTTGGCAATATTTTGTGGATTTGATCAAATATCCATACACCCCCAAACAATTGCACACACTCTACAAAAAGTGTGCTATAGTATTGTTAGATATGTTTAAAAAGATATATCATACATGCCATCTATGCTCTTTAGTTGTAAGTTCTTCTGATAGTATTAACACTTATAGGTTATTTTCTTTAGGCTATGAAATTACAGATCATTATCTTCTAAGAGGTTTTATTACTTCAAGAAAACCTTTTACTGTTGTTTTGTATGATTATAGATATTGTGACCATACCAGCTATGCCAATTATTCAGATGATGGCAAGATTCTTTCATGTAGATATGGATACTATAAATCATATTTAGAAAAATATCAAAATAAGTGCAAAATTTGTTTCAATTATCTTTGGGATAAAATTAAAAAATATTGATTTATTAACGGTAAGTATAAAGAAAAAATTATGTGAAAATGAATTTATCAACAAGGATATTGAAAAAATAGTTGATAATAATTCGGATAATATTAAATCTACAACTGATGATATAACAACAACA